ACGATCTATTATGATGTGTTTCTATGTGTGGGTAAGTATTTCTTGGTTAACCGTAAATTGCATATCGCATGACACAAATCGGATGTCTATGGCAACAATATGAAATGTCGACATTCTTATACCAAAGATTCTTCACTAAAGTCATTTTGAAATATTTTAACTTTGTTTTTCTCCGACTTAGATTCCAGATAATGTTATTGTTTTGAGTAAAGTGGCTATACCAATGATTTTGGAATCGAAAACTCAAGTGACATCTCCACATTATCAGGTAGGAGAAGAATCACCAGTTAATAACCAGATTTTCACTTGAAAAAAAAAAGATCGCCAGAATCAAACACTCTACTAAGAGAGACATCACGATTACACCCGATCAACATGAAAAAAAAAAGAAAATAACAAAATTGGTTCCAACAAAATTATCATTAAATTAGTCACGTAATTAGCGAATTCTATGGAACAATGTGCATAAGTCTCTCTATTTCAAAATTTCCACAAACGATGTCTGAACCAAAATCCAAGTAAAAAAATTCGAGCATTGGTTAAACATCGTCGGTGTAATCCAGATCGCAACCACCACTATCATAATGAAGGTAGGAACATATCGATATAGAAACCGCCATAGGGAAAAACTCATCTCCGAACCAATTGCCATCAACATCTTATTAACAAACTTATTAGCAATCAATGGAGAACAACGAAGATCCTTATGGAGAAACCATCATGATCGCTTTGTGCTTTTCATACACTAATAAGTTTGTTTTGTTCAGAGCTTGTGCTTTTTACTACATTAAGACATGAATGATCTAGGTGCAATATAGAAAAGCTTTTTTCTTTGGATCTTGATCTCTTCGCTCGAAATTCTTGGTTTTGTTGTTGTTTGCTAAACTTATAACCAATTCTACTTGTTGGACTTAATTTAGACTAAACTTGAAATCAATGAAGGTTGTGTTTTTACTACATCAAGACATAGGGCAGATGCTTCAAACTTCAAAGTGAATTCTATAACTTCCGCAATTCCATTGGACATTCATGCTATTTGAAGAAAGACTCCATTTGGATTTGTTAAATATAACTACGACAGCAGATTCAAACAAAATGAAAAGATCACAAGTTGCTTATACAATCAAAGACTCAATCAATTTCTATCTGGGAGCAAGTCAAAGTAGAAGTAATCGATGCATAAATCTTGTTAAAGCATAATTACAATACAAGCCTAGTATCTATCTATTATATTAATTAGAGTTTTCTCTCCTTTTAAAGTGTCCACATCAGCAAAACAAATATATTTTTATTAAAAAATTATTTCAAATATTTAATTCATATTAATTATAGTTTCAATGCATAACTCTCAATTCATGTAATATAAAACACAATAAATTAAGTAAAATATGAAGAATAACATCATAAATATTAATATATGAAAAATAAGATAAAATTATAATGAACTTGATAGAAATTAATAAGAGAAATTTCAAAAAATGCCACTTTTCAAGTGCCACTTTATAAAATGCCACACTTTTGAAATCTTTACAAAAATGCCACTTTTTAAAAATTATTTTTTCTTTATATRATTTATGTTTGGGTTAATTYTYTTCTATTAGGGTTTAGTTWTGAGMYTTTAMGYGGTTTTAYGMYTCAAAACATTTTTTAGGGTTTAGAATTTTAAGATATAGGCTTTATAAATCTATAATTAGTGGCATTTTTGCAATTAAGCACCCCTAAGTGGTATTCTTGCAAATGTYYAKAKAAAAAATGGTATTTTTGTAATTGCCCCAAT